ATCACTTTAGGCTGTTGTGCAAGATTTGTAATATTATTCATGATGAAAACTATTCATAGTTTTTCTCCTGGCTAAACTTTACAGCAGCCCAAGGAAGCCTATGTATTTTTCCAGTATCAAATAGTCTGAAGAATGGAAGTTGCCTGTAGTGTGTACACTGGCATCATTTAAGGAATGTAGGAGAGAAAAGGAAAGGAAAAAAATCAGTATAGAATAAAAACAATTCTTAAGTATTGTATCACTTAATAGATCAAGCACAAAAAGAGCAAGAAGATTCTCATGGCTGGACTCTTAAGTTGTAGAGGCTTAGAGACTGTTGTACCATCCAAGCAGATGAGGTTTCTGCTACTGATTTCATATGAAGTAGAACACCTCATAATATGTATCAATGTCTTAAAATCCCAGTTAAATGTTTATCATAACACTTAAAGGAGCTCAACTGATGCACAGAGACTGTGCAGTATTTACATGGGCTGGAATTTTGTATAAGACTGTTAAATGAAGTCAGAAAGATTACTTATTTCTTATTAGAACAAAATTCTACTATTTGGAGCAGCTTTTGTTCGGAAACTTCTTTAGTTCCTTCAGAGGAAGTACTCAAACGAACAAACAAAAAAAGATCAACAAAAACCATGATGCTGTCTTCTGATAGCCCGTCAGATTGCGCTGAACCAATTAAAATTTGAATTTTGGGACATAGACAAAAACTAACAAACAAACGAAACAAAAAAAAAAGCAACCAAGAACAAAAGATTTTTATACCGATCCCAAGCAGGAAGAGCATGATGTATGAACAGTGAAGTTCATTTGTGAGATCCAGTGCACCACTGGACAGAACTAATTAATGACAAGACACTAAAGTCATTTTCTTTCTCCTCCTTCCCTTCAATGTTCAGTGTTTGTTGGTCAGAGCACTTACCTAAATGTGGTGGAGAGCAGCTCAGGATCCAGCTCTGCTGTAGGGACAAGAACTTTCATTTCTAAGGTGACAGATGCACTTACTGAACTGAGGAATGCTATTTGCCATACTCCCATTTTAGCATTCAGACTCTAATAAAACATTAAGTGCATGAGAGACATTGAATGTAAGTGGCTTAGCAGTTAGGACACTCAGCAGGGAAAAGAGAAGCCGAGGCAATCACTGCTTCTCCACTCAGCGATTTTCTACTTTACAAAGGCATGAGAAAAGCACAAATATCCAGGCGCAGGTTAACAAAGCCACTGAACTTGTTAAAAGCTTCTTAGTAAATACTATACAGATTTCTAGCGGACTAATATGCATCTAAAGAAATTCAGAGATATCATGACTTCTAGCCAATTTTTCCTCTAGCAGTAAGAGATGTGGATTTGATGCTAACTTGTGGATGCCTGCATTGAGCTGAAGTGAGATTCAAAACCAAGACAGAGTGAGATAATTCTTTTTGCATGAAAACAATTACTCACTTCAGGTATCTAGGGCAAAAGTGACTTTTTCTCAAGTTGATCAGGAAAAGAGAAACCTTAAAATGGTACTATAGAAACTGCTTTTGTTTTTAAATCTTGCTGTTGCACTACTTTTCTGTATGTGAGGCGTACATGAAATAGGCCGTTGAGATATACAGAAGGAAAAATAGAAGATGTTAGGGTTTTATTTATTTCCTGTTCTTGAATGCTTTTGCACTCAGGATTTTTACTAATCTAGCATGGTAGCATTTTCCCTAGCTTTTATTATGCTAGAGAGGAAGTACTGGAGTGTTTTAAGAAGGACACTATGCTCACCTCTATGCTAAACTTAGTCTGCCTTTTTTTTTTTTTTTTTTTTTTGTGTGGTGATGTACTACAGTACTTCACCTCTTGATTTAACATTTATTTTCTTCTGAAGATGCTTTCTGGTTGAAGTGGATGTGTTACAATGAAGTTATCCACACAGGTTTGAAGGAGATACTTCCTTTATCTCTGGGATGAGTCATAGGGCTCATTCACAAAGAAAAGCTGGGTTAACCCACAAGCAGTGGTTACTCTGCAGTAATTTCCAGGCCAGCTGTGTGCCTTGCTTTGAAGGATATTGCCCCATTTACCATCCTTGGTCCCAGCCCAGCGCTGTACTCAATCCCAGCAGTAGTTTCTCAATAGAACAATATGTGGTTTTTGACAGCATCTGTGATGCCTTCCTGTGGTGTTCAATTAATCAGTTGGTTTGAAGAAGAGCTTTTTAGGCTCTGAAGTCATCTGTTCTCAGCACAGCTCGGCTCTTACACATGCAGTGTGAACAAACACAGTATGATGCAACTGCTGAACGAAGCAGGGCTGTTTGTTGGGTGATAAAGTAAGGGTGGCTCCTGTCTGACAGAAATCAGCCTCAGTGGGGGAGGCATCCATAATGCCAGCACTTGAATGTGTTAAAATATCTGATGAACTAATTTTCTTGCAGAAGAGAGATTATGAAAAATTTCACTGTAATTTTTGTGCAGTGTGCTTTTTACTTCTTGATATATTTAAAGGTTGATTCAATCATAAAATCAGAGAATTTCATGTGTAGGAATGGACCTTAAAGCTCACTTAGTTCTAAGGCATTGCAGTGGCAGGTTGCCCCTCACCATCTCACCAAGCTGACTCTGGGTGCCTTGAAGGATGGCTGCCAAAATGCTGCAGCACTTGATACACTAGCTGACCTGCTGAGAAAACAGAACAGTTGCATTTAAAATCCTGTTGCTGTACTGGAGGCACAGGGACTAAAAAATTTCACCCATACTTTAATTGCTATGGAAGAACATACAGTTGCTTGTGTACTCAGATAGTATTTGCAAGAACAAAATCTTTGTAAGCTAAAACAAGAACTGTAAGACAAACTTTTCATAAAAGGAGCATCTTTCTTGCCTCTAGCATGCATGGATTATTTGAGTGTATAAAGGAATATGTTCCCATGCCAAATCCTGTGCTGTATATGGGCTGGCAACTTCATCGTGCTGTGCTCTCAGCCTGCTGCCTTTTGAAAATACTGTGACATCTCATAGGAATTCAAAGCAAAGCACAAACTCCTGTTTGCTACTTTTATCATGGCAGGTGATGAAATGGAAAGCAGGCTGTTTACAGTGCTTCTTCAACCCTAGTGGAGGTACGTATGCTGCAGTGAAATTGTACAGCCATTCCAGTTTAGAGTTTGAGTTATTCTTCAGCCTAAATAAGCTCTAATGTAGCACTAGACGATGAAAAACGTGGCGGTTGAAACCCTATTGTGGACAGGCTCTGTTGGGTTAAAAAAAGAAGATATTCTTTCTCAGTCTTTTTAAGGAAGAATTTACATAAACAAAGTGGTTACAAATGTATTTTAATGTAGATAATGCTATGTGAGAAGATATTTCCAAAAATTTGAAATGGTTTTATTAGTATGAACACATATAGTTATAGCTGTATGTGGCTGGTATTTTCCTCCTCAACTGTTCAAAAGAATATTCCTTTCTGCTTAGAAATAAGAATAATTTAGAATTATTTCGTAGAATTTGAAAACAATCTCTATTGAGATTTATGTGATTCTGATGCAGCCAGATATTCACAGTTGCAACAGAAAGTGACTTCTTATTGGATATCACTGTAGTGTAATAATTGCACTCTCATATTCTGATGGGTAATCTTTAATGTTATGTTGCTAGATTAGTATAAATTGGAAGTAGAAAAAAATGTCTTTCTGTGTTTTTGTCAGATTTGCCATCAGGATTGGCATTGCAGCTTTGTAATGTTCTGAGCTTGATTCATGGAAAGGTAAGTCTAATTTTTATTTAAAACTGTGCATGAGAGGATAATCAGTACATCTTTTTGTCATTTCCTTAGTAGTTCTGAACATACTTGGCTCATTGGTTCTGTTTTGGAGGAATTACAAGGCAGGTGGTGATCTTCATGTAGTTATTGCATTAGCACAGACAAACGTTTTCCTTCCTTCCTCTCGCCACCATTTACTTTTATGAAAATTGCTGAACATCCTACAGTGAGATCTGAAGCTCCTCCTTGAGTTCCTAAAAACAAAATCTTCCACATGGCTGTCCTAGCACAGCAGTTTTTGGGGCACAATAAAAAAAAAAAAAATAAAGCCTGTGCTGCACTATCTGAAAGTAGGCTTGTTCTAGATTGAGGAGTGAGCTGAGAGAGAGCACCAACTTCCGCAAGGGTTCAGGCTATAAGGACTGAGATTGAGGAAGCTGAGTCTTCTTTTTTTGGCTCTGAGGTAGGCTGAGATTCTTTGACAGAAGATTAACACATTTCTGTAGAGAAAGCGTAGTGTTTTGTTTGTACCATGCATGAAATGGAGACAGTTACCAAAGGCTAACAAATCATGCAGATTTGTAAATTTTAACAACTTGTTGGTGTCTGTATGTCACTGGAGAAAATAATAATTAAATAGCTACATTTACAGACTTCTAAAAACAGCCACATAAACAGACTAAAATGAAAAATTACACGTTGCCACCAATTTGAAGAACTTTATCCAAAAACACGGTTTCCACCTGATGTTAACAAAATTTGTCATTTTCATCATAGTAAAAGATTGAATCAGTACCAAGTACACACACAGTGAAAGCAGTCAATAACTGGATAAGAATATAACAGGAGCTGAAAAGAATGCAGTTCTGTTAGCTAAACTTGCTTATTACAGTAAACTTAGAGAAAACAGAGGGTATTCTTTAAGTTGTTTTTCTCTTTACAGATAGAGATCCACATTTCAAGAACGATTATTACAAGAGTAAATGTTATTGTTTAAACCAACCCATATACTACAAAAAACATACAAAGAAATCTAGCAAACCCGTTCGTGTGCAAAACAAGATAGCACAGACAAAGAACAAGAGATTAAACTGTCCACTATTATTAAGAAAAATGACAGTGCATTTTAAGTGGCTCCTGTAAACTTTTTTTATGTGAGCTGAAGGAGGATGTCATTTCCAAATGCTTCCATTTTATGTGAAGTACAGATGCTTTTTTGGAAGTGCTAATAAGTTTATTTTGAAAAACAAACTGTATCTCAAATATTGCCTATTTGTTTAACTGAAAAGTAAATGGTATAGGCTACGTCAAGTCTACCTCATAAAGCTAGCTACTGGATTTATTTACATTAGCTCAAAATTTCATTCAGGTTTTGCATTCCCTTCCTTCTAAACTTTTATAACTTCATAACTGAAAGAGAAGTTAGAGGATTAGAGAAATAACAAAACACTTTTCAGGTTCGGTGCTCAGACAATAGAAAAAATAGTGCAACAGTTTGCTATGTTATATACCTTTCCAGCAAATCTATCAAAATATTCAGATTTGTCTTTTATTCTCATTTAAAAAAATACAGTGCTCTTCTTGTTTTCTTGTGAGTATGGAAGTATGAGCATCTTTAGATGTCTTTAAAATTATTAAAAAAAAAGGAATGCCAGCAACCCAGAGCTAGTCATGTAAGTTGATCACTGAAGCAGATTTCAGAAGTGACGAAGTGTTATTAATCCAGTTGACTCCAGGTGGAGGCAAAGATCCCTTTGCAAAGAGCAGCTTGCATGCTTAAGACCATCAGCTTTCTTGTGAAGACAGCAACTGAAGTATATTTTAGATCTATAATTGTAAATAGTTTAATCTCCCTCATAAATGGAGCTGAACTCCTCAGGAAACGCAACATAGCTTGGTGACTGGAACTCAGGAAACTCCCAAATCAATACCAGAACAAGCATGGACTGAGGGAAGGTTGTTCAGTGCTTTTCAGTCCTAAGGACTACACTGTGTTTTAAAAATAAGATTTAGAAATGCTGAAGGTGATTATAGCAGCTTTACCACTTTACCACACATCTGAGTACAAGTGCCACTTAGATGTGAAATGGCTCAGCATCTCAGCACACTGTGCTTTTTTTTCTTTACTGAATCGCCTTTGGTTCAGGGCTTGGCCCTACAGTAAATCATACAGAGCTTTCCTCTTATTCTGTGTATTTTTTAGTGAGTGCTTTTAGTACCTTTCACTTTATCCTAAGTACTTTGCCAATTACACTGATTTGCAAAGAGAAACAAAGGACTTGGGGCTGGAGAAAACTCGGAAAATGCAGAATGATGCAGTAGTAATTGTGGGAGGAAAAAAAAAAAATCAAAAAGGTACCTTTGTGCTATAGAGATACCGGATGCTACAATTGGAAAGCTTAATGGTTGCATTCTCCTGTTCTGCTTTGGGGAAATACACTGCAGTTTGCTGAAGTAGATAATGACTAAGATCTATCTATTGGAAGGGACATTATTTTAATCTTTGTATAATGCTACTATGAAGGTCACCAGAGGTTGGTAAGAACGGCTGAAGAACGTTGCTGACATACAAACGCTCATGCTCTGATGCCAGAGAATGGAAGGAAGATAAGAAGGGAGAAATAAAATGAAGGCATGAAGATGCATGGTGATAAGTGATTTTGAAGTGATGGATGAGAGTTCACAGCAGGTTACTTTGGGAAGGTAAGAGGAATAAAGTGATGTCTGAGACATTCCTGAAAAATGATTTGTCTCTGTTTTCCACTTCTGTTAATTATCAGTAATAATGAGAATGCCTTTAAGATTTACTGGCATGAAGCTGTAGATTAAAGTAGTAAATTGAGATGCTGCTACTGTACAAATAATATTTGACTCGTGAACATTCCTTGTGTAACAAACCTGGATATTTTTGTTTGTTTGTTTTGCAGGAGACTAAGCAGCACTTTAGAAGATGATTCTTGCAAAATGGGAAGCTTTCTATGCATTTTCTGCAAATGAAAATTTCTTCACTGGCAGCTTGCACTGGAAAGGTAAGAGTGGATAGCATAATCATCCCAAATTGTATAAAAAGATGGAACCAGTGGCTGTGCTTGCATGAAAGAGCTTTTACCTTAGTACTAACAGGCCAGAATGACACAAAATTGCCATACCATGTGAGGACACACTTCCCTAGAGAGTTCTGGAGAGACTACTGGAATCTTTTCTTCAACTTTGTGCTAGAAGTGCCAAATCCACAATGGGACATGCTTGGTTCCAACCTGCTAAGATTTCCCTATATGTCCATATACAAGCAAAGAGTTTACTTCAATTTTACTATCTTGAGTTGAGAGGACAAGGTAAAAGGCAAAGAGGACCTGTATGAGGAAAGACAAAAATCAGATCGAAAACTTTAAGACCTCAAGATGTTTTGAGTTCTTTAGGGTGTTCCCAGATCAGCAGCAAAGGGCTTACTGCTTGTTAAACCATCCTGACCTTGATCTTATGATGACTGACCAATGTACCAGGTAACAACATTCCTAACAGAATATTGATCTCTGCTCTTCTGCAAAAAGAATAAATTATCTTGTTTCCCTGAGGATGAGCAAGCTGTAAGACAGGAAGGACATGCTGTATCTTATGGTTAGCTCACTGAAACTCAGCTCACACTGTGTGTGCAGAAAAGCAGCGGGACTCAGAGGGGCAGATGAGAAGTTAATGAAGCACTAAGCTTTGCTTGTCAGAACCCTGATGTCTGACATTATCATCAGAGACCTGATTGCCCTTTTTCTTTCTGAACATTAGCCAGTTGAAATCCAGTTACCAGAGCTCTGTGTGCTCCAAAAACACAGAAGCATTTTGATCTACAATTCTGATTTTCAGCCTATTTTTCTCTATAATGGAACACTGCCTTGGAATGAATAATGTTCTAGATTCTGCTCTGTGATTAGCAACAGGAAACCCAGTAAAATTACATTGTGTAAATGAACAGAGCTACATGAAATTAATAGCTCTCAGCAGCCTGCAGAGCAATGTGAAGAGGATATTAAGAACTGGAATAATTTTGAGAACTGCAAAAAGAAAGCTTCTAATAATAGACAAAATGCATAACAACCTACAGACCAAAGACTCGTATTTTAGTTTGGTCCCAGATAAAAGGATTTTCCCTTTTAACTCCAAAGAAATGTACAGGGCTGCAATAAAATGTCTGGCTGCTTCTATTTTGCCCGGGGAGGTGGTAGAGTCACTGTCTCTAAAGGTGTTCAAGAAATGTTTGCATTTTGTACTGAGGAATGTGTTTTAGGGGGAAACATTGGTGATAGGTGAACAGTTGGATTGAATGATTTTGGAGGTCTTTTCCAATCTTGCTGAATTTTATGATTCTATTCACTGGAGCTTTCTTATTACAGACTGCTCAGCAGTTTGATGGGATGCTGACAACCCTCAAGTCCATTTGCAAACAAGGATTTTGGAGAGGGAACCTCTTTACTTTCAAGGTAACTATCAGCTTCAAAGTCTGTTGCTCAATTTTGCAAATGCATTGACATGAAAATATATTTTGCTCTCTTATTTTATTTTGGGGGATATTAATGCTGTGGAAAATCACAGATAGCCAGCCCTGGCTGGCTGTAACAGGAATAACTGTAACTGTAACAGGAATAGCTGCATGCATTTCCTCACCCAATCCTCCTATCTAATGTCCCTTTTTACCTACCTCCGTGAGTGCTCAGCCTTCCATCTCCTTGCTGCAGTAGCTGCACAGCAGCTGCATCAATCTGCTGGATGCTTAGACCAAAACAAAATTTCTAAGTGACAGTTTGATTATTTGATATGTTGTCACAGATCCCTAGAGGCCATGACTAGAAAAAGCACAAAGGGTATCCAGTTTGTTTCCCTGCTTCCTGGGGATCATCAATAACACTGCAAATCAAAGTATTGCTTTTGTGCTTACAGCATAATTAGGAGTCTACTACTGCAGGTAGTTTTGCTTCATCTGCTACAAAACAAACTCTTATCAGGCTCTTCTAACTGTTATCTGTGCAAAATGCTTTAAATAAAAGCATAGATCTTCTACAAGTGGAATCCTGCTCTGAAGCTGATACACAAAACACTCAGCAAAGCACAGAAGCCTCCTCAACTTTTTTACAGTATGACTCTGGGGAGTGTCTTTGGGCTTACTCGTTGTCCCTCAGTGACAGATACCATTTCTCCAGCTGCTGGGCTCCAAGGAAAGGAGAAGCTATAGCATTCCAAGTCAAGCTTGCTGACAGTTCAGGGTATAACTTACACGTGCACATAAAGAGGCAGTAATAGCACATTTCAAAGGAACCATATCTATGAAACTGCCACCATTTCTTCCCCATTCCCTCTGTGGTTTAGCTGCACTTAATGCTGGATGACACTCCTTTTTTAATGCTTTAATTTTAACCTTCTTGATTCTTCTAGGAGATTGACTGTAATGGATCCAGCCAGAAAACAGAATCCAGAAACATTCACAGTATGTTACTGCTGTCAAAACTTACCAGAATCTGAACCAGCCTGCATTAATATAGGGATCTTTTTATATACCTGACAGTATTCTGTGTATACTCCTGTGTGCAATATCATTGCACCTGAATGTTAGAGATTCTTTGTTTTTTTTGCAGCAGGAAACTGACAGTACAATTAACATCTTTAACTACAAGATAGCAACTGCTTGTGCTTGCTGCCTGCACTCTGTTTTCCTATCACACTGTCAAGCCAATTACTTTAATTAAAGTTCTGTCTGGCCCTTTTTGACAACTCAGCCTGTAATGATGAAAGTATGTATGAGAATGATCTGGGTTAGAGAGTCAGAGTTCATTGTTTTCCAACACTCCTGCAATTACTATTAATTTCACATGAAAGTAGGGCACTTTCTTTGGGAAAAACAACACAGAAGTGTCACTTGGGTTCATTAGCAGAGTGGTGGTTCTCTGTTCTTCCCTCTTCAATACATTTCTTCATGGGTAAAGAATTTAGTACAGCGCTTTGAGAAAAAAAAAACTGCAAACATTGCTAATCCCACTTAGATTAATATTCTAGGAAATGTAAACAAAGTTACTTGGCAGTAGAATAACCTCACTAGGCTAGTACCTTATTGTCAAATTAGTTTTAATCATGGTGAAAAATGTTTTGCTGTTCATGTGCTTCCAGGTTTTCATGTAACTAAAGAGCCTACTGAAATTCTGAAAGAAAGCATGTAAGTAATTGATCTAAACTACAAAAGCAAGAGAATATCAGAAAATTGTACTTCACGTGATGGTTCCATGGGTCCTGTGTGTCTGTGAACATGATCCCATCATGCTCAGTTCCCTGTTCAAAACCCCTTTGCAGCCTTCCAGCCTCACTTAACAGTTTGTTTTTGGCTCAGAAAGGATAAAGAAGAATTGAAGAACAGGACAGGTACACAATTTATACAGCTTACCCATTTTTAAAACTTCATTATTTTTGACCTACAAAGGGGCAAACAGCTACTTTAGGACAGTGAATAGCACAGATTTTGCAGTTTTTTCTTAGGACTATAGGTGTTTTATTATATATATATATATATATATTTTTTTTTTTCTGTGTGGCTAAGCTTCCATAACACTAATTCTCAAGATTTTTCTTAGAACAGATCTCTTCTGTCCTCAACCATCTTTACAGAATTGCTCCAAATTGGAAAATAGTTAAACACACAGATGCTCAGTTTCTCAACTGAGTCGTCATTGGATTTTTCATCCTTAGGATAACTTTTTCTATTTTTCTCTCTTGCTAGTTGTTTGCATGTTTACATCTTTAAAAGCAAGTTCACAAAGACAGGAAAAAGTATACGCAGTGCTAATTCTAATCACCAATTTGGGGCATGCTGCTTTGATTCAAGTAACTCTCCACCAGCCCTGAAGGGAAATGAGTTTAAAGAGAAAAGAAGGAAAATTCAAACTTCTCAATGGATTTGCAATTTCTTAGTCCAGCCTCAGGCTCAGTAGCAGGAAAGTGTCAAAAATAGGCTCTGTGCCTTCAGACAAGGCTTTCTGGAATTAGCACAGTAGTTGCATGAGGCAGTACATATAGATTTGGAGCTAGAATTTGTCTTTCACTGTCTCAAAGTTCAAATATTTTGGGGGTTTTATTTTTTGTGGTTTATTCTTTTTGTAGGAAGAAGTGGGAGATTTTCAACAAAGGTGATTTTGTTTTTTTCCTCTCCCCTCAGGATTTTTGTAATCTCTGAAACAAGAACAGCTGCAACTTGTTTTGAAAAGGAAGTGCTTATGGAAATAATACAATGAAAATGTTCCCCAGTAGAAAAAAATTCAGCGATCAGAGCTGTTACTTACAGTAGGCTCTATAAAAGCCACTTCTAGGAGTCAGAACCCAGAGACTTACTAAGACTGAGGTACTTGTTCACTAGCCACCTCTTACCTCTCTGTGTTATTTCAGACTCCTGTACTCACTCCCTTGTGAGCACAGAAGTATTTCATTATTTCTTTCAATTCAACTTTGTTCGTAAGACATTACTCACTGTTAATTAGGCTTCACAGTTCCCCCACGTTCATTTGCTACAACTATATGCTTGTGAAAGAATGTGCTCTGTGGAAAACCTGGATTATGATGAAATAATGAAGCTTGAAAGCATGATATTTGTCCTTTGGCTCCTGGATGAAACATCTACAAACTGCTGTTGTCACTGCAATCCAGTATCTCTACATCAAAATAGGGGCTTGTGCTGCTCTATTCCACACACACTTTGTGCCTCCTGCAACCAGCAGACAGGTGGAGCATCAATTCCTAGATTATCATATCCAGTCATTGATACTGGAAGGCAAGTATAAGTAGCATGCATCTGCCTCTCTTAGTGTTAAGTCTCATGATTTTGAACACAGCTTAGCATATGCAAGTGCTAGAATGCACACACAATGAACATGTACTGTATCAGAACTGAGCCTATGCCACCTGGAAACCTAACATGTTTAGCTACTATGACGTAGAACAATTACATACAATGTTATGCCACAGTAAAAAAAATGCACAAAAATCTGACAAAACCCAGAAAAGCGTCTAGAAAATTCTCAACAGTAGAAAATAAGCACTTCCTGTATAAATCTCACTTCCTTTTTGTATCCACTATAAGTACAATGGTCTGCCTTTCATTACATTTCCATACAAATCTTGTGTTGGCGTTGTTCTCCCTTAGAGCTCTCACCTCCATATAGTTTGCCATAACATCCAAACTTTCAGCAATCAAGATTCATAATGATTAGCTTGCATTTCTTTTCTGTGATTGTGGCAGTACTTACTCAAAGTCCCTACCTATATGTATTTATATAGATATACATGTATATATACACACATACATACAAACACATGACAAATACTGCTGCAGTTATCCTCTCTTCCAGTGTTTGGAGTGACAAGCATCCTAGAAGGTGAAGGCATACACCACTCCCACAACCACAATATTTCCAATTGTTGCTATTATTGCAATCCATAACAATATGGCATCGTTTGAAGACCGGGATGTTTCTTCTGGTGGATTCTGCATGGAAGAAGCTGCATGGACGTTGGCTGATGAGTTAAACAAAGAGTACTCTGTACTGAAGTCCTCATTTGGTGAGTCCATAAAGGCTCCCCCCATAACAGGAAGCTGTGAAGAAGAACATGGCATAATTAGATTGAAAGCCAATGCATGCATTTGTTTGCTCTCTAAGTCAATCTCCCAAATCACTGAAGTTCTATGTTTGTGGTGCTAAGCAGTCAGGACTATCATATACACACTGTACACTATTTCTTCCATTTTTGTTAGGATTATTGTTACTGAAAGAAACCTATGTATATTGCATGTACCATCATACATCAGAGCTAGCCTACAGGCTCCAAGTAAAGCTACACAATAATATAAAATTGAGAAGAAATGACAAATGATAAAGAAAATGAAAATGATGATTTGAAATGATAAAGAAATAATAATCCACAAAGCACTCACGTACTAAAGCACAGCACCATATGTGTTCTAAGGCTACCAGCGGGGAACACAACAAATAAGCACAGTGTGCAAAGAATTTGCTCCACTTTTGTGTATAGCTTAGAAGTAAACAAAATTTATAAATGCAAACAAAAACATGAATTACAGAAGTTGTTACAGTAAAGAAGATGAAGCACACCAAGTGCACTAACTTCACCTGCAAAAACATATCTGCAATGTGTTATTTGTAAATCTATGAATTCTGATAATGCTGTAAATCCAAAGAATTATTAATCTACACAGTGGAAAACTTCAGTTATGATAGGCTTCATAGCAATTAAGTTAGTGACAGATTTCCAACATCACTATCACGTATTGGGTGTTGTTAGTGGCCCTGTCAGTGGTACCACAAAAGGTTCTCAGTTCTGCACTTAAAAAGGTTTTTGAGATTTTGACATCATCACTCTTCACCTATCCCAACAGGCTCTTCTCTACATCTGAAACTAGAGTCTCTGGCCCAGTAACAAAATAAGAATCCTCTCTTCTTCAGTACTAGTAATAGTACTATTATAGCTAACAGCAGCACAATATTGTTGAAGTCATCATGGCTTATGAATAATGGAGAAATCAGCCTTCCATTCCTTTAGACACATCACAGAAGGCTGGTATAACCATGAGTGCTAAATTACCATGCCCAGTACTCACTGTGCTGGAAAATTAGTGTCTTTCAACTTTATCCTTAAATCCTGCAACACACTGATTCTCCTGTTGATACTAAGCTACACCCCATCTGTCTGCCTGCAGCTGTGCTATGGAGGATGCGAAACAAGAGAGGACTCAAGGATAAGCCACCTCTCTCCACCCACAGTGGTGGCTGTAATCTAATATTAGAGCAAAGAATTTGCTAAGTAACTGTGACAGTACAGCAGTTGTTTTTTTTTTTTTCCCTTGATATTCAGAACATTCTACAAAACAGTCTCTTTCAAAAACTGGCTGCTGAACAGATTTTGTTTGTACTTGAAAATATCACGTCACACTGAAAATGAAATACAGATAGCAAGGGTTATGTCATATTTCCCAATCCACATTAAATAAAATTATCTTTGAGAGCAAATAAATGGTATGATTGGACGAAAACAGTTTGCAAAAAACCAAATCGGAAATTGCAGAAGTCAGGTCTGGAGCATTGCCCCTGCACCAAAGACTTTTTGCTCCTACTTTCAACACTGTGCTTTACAGAGAGCTTCAGTTTTGCAACAAGCCCAGCTTGAACCTCATAATCCAACAGCACCAGTATCTTTTACATCTTGGGATTCGATAGGGAAAATTGTTTAACCACAATTCCTTTTCATGCAGGGATTGAAGTCAGAATTGGCTTTTATAGCAGACACAACAAGAGCATTCATGCAGAAGCACTGCCATTCAGCAGCTGTGGAGATACTAGTTAAAGCAGCAAACAACAGACATATATTTACCACAGCAGCAGCAAAATACTCAGTCCAAGATAATTCTCTTTTTAACATTTACATTAATCAAATCTACAAAGCCTTTCAACCAGAGCAACCATTCTTGGTGATTGTTCATGGAAGACACAGGGTTTCCTGTAAATGTGTATGTGCCCAAGACTGTGGGAAGTTGTGAGCACTGTTCCAATAAGCAATATCTGTTTTTTGGGCCATATCTTCTCTACCTTCTTTGAATTATTTCAGCTGACAAGCTTGCACTGTGCTAGTCCACATGGTGCTGTCACAGGGGCAGGAAGCACGCATGTAACAGCACAGCTACACACCATGCTGCAAGTGATGTCAGATCTGAACTTGCTCATTCCGTGCAAACAAGCTGTTTTCACCATCTGAGGGGAACACATGGTGAAACAGCTCATCTGAGTTTCCAAAAGGCTTGCAGTGACCTGACATAAAAATCTGATGTTCAGCACCTGGCACAGGCTCTTTCTGTAAAATTGACTTTCAGTTTTTCTGTGTGTACGTCAGTGGCACTTTCATCATAGATCTGGAAATAAACCTCACTGCTGATGTCCCGTTTGAAAAAATTGATCCTTAATTTTCATTCTCCCTTCCCACTGATAAAAGAGATTCATGTAAGGACACAGGAATGGCCATAAAGTATCTGACAAAGTTGATTTTCAAGGCTGTGACTGTCTTCAAGCATCATCAATGGCCCTAAGCGCTCAGGAAAGAGTAAAAGCACAACTGGATGAGTATATCTGATCCTACTTCTTAACATCTGTTTGTAAACTCAATACTATTACTCTGGATGCAGTACTTCCTGTTCTTGCTCCACTTACCTATCTCTGCCTCTGCAAAAATACACCAATTAATTTTAGCCAAGAACTTAATCCACATCATTGATGTTACACAGGCATCATATATATGCATATATATATCCTATTAAAAAAACAGAGTTTTATAGTTGGAGCAAAGCAGTGCAGCACCTGTGTCACACTCCCCAGAATTCCTGTTTGAGAAGCCCAGGGCAAAGGCTTAGTTGGGAAATGTGGCAGTGAGGGACACAGCAGGAGGGAATGGTGAAGGAGTATGCCACAGCTCTGAAATGAAACTCTTTTCTGAGTCAACAATGCAAAGCACATCTCTTGCTAAATAGCTTCCCAGAGCAGCAAAGAAAGGATTTGAACCATTAAATAACAACAGGCAGAAAACCAAACAAAACATCAAGAGGTAATGAGAACCCCCACTGTGCTGAATGCCTTCTGCTGCCATCCAAGAGGATGGCAAAGGGTCAAGGAGAGAAGAACAAGCCTCTTGAACAGTTAAATGATATATTTGCCTGTTAGCAAAAAAAAAAAAATATATATATATATATCTTGTTTTATAACTTAAATGATTCACATGAAGGAAAGAAACATGGCAGGTCCCAGTCACCAACAGTCTAAAAATGATGGCTTTCTTAAGTAACATCACATAAAATCCATCATTTATCAGTAACATTGTTCCATTTCTCTGAGAATCAGGGAACATCTTTTACAGCAAGCTAGACAAGTACAACATTCAATTCCTGCTATGTTAGAGAGAACCTACGCTCAGCAGAGAGATTTGAAAGAGCAGCTAAATCTTCCAAGTAGCTGTTTCCAAGAGACTAGAAAACCTCAGCAACATCTTCAACAGACGTGCTGGACCTTGGCCTTGGATGCAGACTTCTCTGGAAATGAGATACTGATAGGTGAAATGTCACCCCAACTCTAATGCTGTCTTGTAAAATTGCTGTTGTTACTTCAGAATATCTAGAAGTTCTGTTTCTTTCAGGTTCCATGATAGATTCTGACCACTTAAAGTGAAATGAGTATTTCCTTCTAGCCTAGCAGCATGTGATTGCTGCAATGGGTCTGAAAACCTAGCTACAATCACAAATTCTTTATTTAAATTAAATAATTTTAATATGTTATATTATATTAATATAATATATGTAATGATATAATATATTAAATAATATTTAAATAAATTTAAATAAATGTTTTGCATTAAAAAGATATCCCACATAACCAATATTTTCCCCACACTCTCTTGCTTCTCACAGAATCATGCATATATGTAACTCACCTACTGTAGGGCATGTACTGTTATGGAAATAAAGAAGTTCTTTCTGTTACTTATTTACTGGTAACATCTGGAGAGCCAATTACTTCCAACCACCATTTACCAGAACATCATCCTATTATTTACCACACAAGGGCTGGCTACACAGTGACAACCAGGACTGTTAGTTGGTGTTCACTACAAGATTAGTTAAAATGCTTTAAATCCCCACACAACTGGAATTAAAGAGCACCTAAGCCAATCTTATTTAATGTAAGTAAATAGATCTAATTCTGAAGGGGGAATCCATGCAAATGCATTCTGCAGATCACTTCAAATTCTCACTTCATTTAATTCAGATCCTTGCTTCACCTTAAAATCATAGTCTCTTGTTGACAAGCTTAAGAATAACAGCTATTTATTTTTAAAATATAGTTGTCAAAATAATTCCCCTACCAGTGGCAATGGAAAATTTCCTCTCTAATTTGAAAGCATAAAGATTTCATGCTTTATTTTTAATCCCACTAGAAATTCTCTATCTTATTCCAATCAATCTCTGATTTTCTTTCATTTCATCATATTCCTAGGACCTGTGTATTATTTCCTTCACTGCTTTCCTATTTGTGATAGGCAATGTAAGTTTATGTCCTTTTAGATGAGACTGATGTTCACAGCTGTTCCTTATCAGCAGTATTGCAGATGCTAGAAGCGCAAGTTTCAGCCTTGCTGTTGACCACACTAAGAGATGTCATAGAATCATATAATTGCTCAGGTTGGAAAAGAACTTAAAGATCACCAAGTCCAACTGGAATCTAACCATACTACCATAATAATAACTCTCTGCTAAATCAAGTCATGCCCAACAGGTGACTAGATATTCAGGTAGGAACATTCAAAAATGACCAGAGCTGCGCAGACACTTCACTTCTGAGTTTGCTCTTAGTTGTAGAAACTCTTTGTCTTAACTAAGAAAATTCACTAGCGGATGGAGCTCAGCTAGATCTTTATCCCTCTAAACATGGCCATATTGCAAGTACCTTGTAAGAGAACATGCCCCGTGCAGACCAAAGCACCTCTCTGGGCAAAGTTATTCTGCTGAATCAATTAAAAGAAACAGTAATTGGTGAGAAGGTGTTTCCTAATTTTTTTTTTCCAACTCTTATATTTCTGCATTAGTGGCACACAAGTTACCTTAGTGATAAAGACATCAGGTTCCATTTCGCACAATCTAGATATCCCAAATTCTTTCTTGTAATAGCTCTTATTATTAAAAAAAAAAAAAAAAAAAAAAAAAGAAAAAAGAAAACCCTACTGCTTTCAAATTGACTACTATCAGTGTCAGTTAACTGCTCTTGGATCTCATCTTCTAAGTGTGAAAGACTAGGAGCAAGTAAAAGTCTCAAGAGTTCCTCCTCCCCTTCCAGCCAGTATAAGCAATACTGCATCAAGAAAAAGGGGAAGCTTTGCTCAAAGCTTCAGAAACAGAACAGAAAAAAAAAAAACAAACAACAACTGTACAAAGAACCTTCAAGTCTAAGTTTTATTAATTAATTTAAATTATGAGTATGTATATTCCGGAGGTGGTGGTGAATATCACAAAAGTGTGCAGGGTAGTCAAGCATGACATGCTTTGAGCTATCTGGATGAGTCAGGAAAATCATTCAAGCATCAATACTGTAATATAATAGCAGCTAGCATCCTACTGGGGACATTATGCTAGAGAAGCAGCTGCATCTAGGTTTCCTGCTTCCAGAAATGTATATACACATGTGGAAGAAAAAAATATGAACAGAGAGTACCAGGGAGGTAAACATCTATCAATATAGAAAAATGAAACCAACCATCAGTGTTATCATAAGAAGAGCAATTCAAATTTTTCACAGTTTTGAAGACCGGCAGAATGGAGGACCCTCTTACACCTTTTGTAGCCACACTGGAGACCACAGAGGAAATAAGAATTCCTTTAGAGATAAGAGCAACTTGCAGAAATGTGTCAGTTTAATCCTAAACATAATTCTAGAAGGATGTCAAGCACCAAGCTTCCAAGTTTAATTTTTCCTATATATTCCTACTGGATAAGAAAGAAGCGTTGAACACCCCACCTTTTGTAGGATTTCTTGCACCATCTGTTAGTTTTGGCATTGGCCACTTCAAAGCCAAACTAATAGATTTAACTGGACTTGTACAACCTCCTGCTTTGATAAAGCCTGGCAATTACTGTCTGGTTTCAAGTGTAACTTTCCCTATTGAGGGGAAAAAGGAAAAAAAAAAGAAAAAAGAACTAACAATAAGGAGGAAAAAAGAAAGAACACTGCATGCAGCATAATGGCTTACAGGATGGAGATATTGCTGGCTGGAAGCAAGTGCACAGCCACGTGCTATCCAGTGGTAGTTTCAGTTGTTCTTACAGAGAGTAAGTGGTTATTGAGTGCTGGAGAGAAAAGAAGTTAACACAAGCTGATTGTAATGATGTTCCATATCTTCAAGAATAAAAATAATCCCACCAAAAATAGCAAGTCAAATGATGAAGTTTAAACAGAAAACCAAAGAGCAGAACTCAAGAGCAGGCATGTAGGAATATCTAAATGAAGCCTAATCCCATTTCTCAATTTGGAAAAGATCTGCACAAGCCCATCCTCCATTGTGGTCTTTGAAGTCATCCTATTTGTGACAAAGTGCCAATGTCCCATAACCAATTCATTATTGTGGCCAAGATGTCTTAGCAAAGAAACCGGGCTGATAGGGAGCATCAGCTGTAGGGCTGATGACTGCAGTTTTTAGAATTTTCTTTCTCCTCCATCTCCTTTAGCCTAACACAATGCTTAGGCTGTTTCATGGAAGGAGGCAGTGACGTAGCCATGGGAAAAAGATGGAAATTAGTAACCATTCATGCAATAGAAGCAACAATACAAGTCCAAAACTAAAACTAGTTCCAGCTTTAGGATGAAAAATCATCAGACTTGAGAAATGGGCAAAAACAGCGAGTGTGTAAATTACTGTATCTTTCAGTATTCAATAATCAGGATGCTTCTCACAAAAATTAAAAGAATTTCAAGGGGCCGGTGTTCAGGGATATAGACCTAGAAAGATATTTTGGACACCTTATTCCTCTAGACAAAAATACAATTGCAAACAATTTCCTCTGTGGTGCATACACTGATTATGTTCAAACTTAAACCAAGTAGGAAGAAAAATCTTGTATGCTAGCTCCAGTCCCTGTTACACAGCCCATGAAAAATTAATTGGTTGAGATTTAGCTATTCCACAGCAACAGGCACGATATCACTTAGCTCTATTTCATCAGAGAAATTATTTACTATTCCATGAAGACTCAAAAGCTTTCAAACTATACATTTGATGTTTTACACAAAGATGGCTGCACTACAAAAGGCTAGGATACACCTGCCTATTAAAGGAAGTAATCACTACCACTGCAGCTCTGCTGTACCAAATGGTAGGGAATAAATGCCTCATTTTCAGCACCTTGGAAACAACCACCTGGAATCTATCCTCAAATGTGATAACAGAAGAGGCCAGTACCTTCATCATAATGCAAATCCACTGGGAAAGAATCATTCTGTGATGACTTCCAGAAAATCATTTACCCATGCAAAATACTTCTGGGCATCCAACAGAAAGCCTTAAAATGGAAATAAAAACAATTTAACAGTCTCAACTGAAACCATAATGATTATTTTCCTGAAGTTTACATAAGCTATCGGGCTCTCACAAAAAACCACAGGAAAGAGAAACCTGATAACAATGAAAGCAATTTCATTTGGGCTATGTGTCATTTTCATCCAACAATTCATACCAGTTTATTTTTTTTCTATCATTTTCATGTTGCACTGCATTTTCAAAAAAGAAAAAAGAGGAGGGCTGAGTTATGCTGATAAAGAATCTGAGATATATATCTCTCAAGTATTAAGCCTATTTTTATAAATACTTTTGCTTACCTACTTGGCATGTAGTTCAAGACACACAAGAGTCGGAAAAAAAAAAAAAAAAAAAGATGTATTCCACTTGAAATGGAAAAAAAAAAAAAAAAAAGGTAGAAAAAGCTGACACAGTGTTAACCCCCTTCTTGTTGACCATCTCTTGACCATATGAGCAGCAGCACGCATGAAGGTCAAGTAAAACATACAGTGCAGCTTCTAGGAAGATACGAGGACTGCCAAATGTTATTCCTATTGCATACACTTCACTTGATAGAATACCAACATCTGGCAGACTGTCATGCCTCTTGATTCCATCAGGCATACCAGGCATAACATATGGCTTGAACAACCTACAGACTGCACATCCCCCTCAACTTATTCTTTAATGCTTAAGAAGTGGTTTATACCTGAAGAAGAAACCATATTAATGTGTCTGAAAATTAATCATTTTATCTTGTATTTTGGCCACAGGAGTGAGCTAATCATACGATATACAAGAAAATGAAAATTAGAACGTGAAAAAATGTTGAAAGCTTCTTAACTTTTAGAATTTGAGAAGAAACTCATAGAAAGCTGCCTTCCAAAGGTTGAATATCAAGAGGAGGCTAAAAGCTTCGTCACCTCTACATCGTGAGTGCTTAAGAACCAGACAAGTGCCACCAGACAACTGTTCCAGCCTTCTTCTAGGATATGCTGTTCCCACAGCAGAGGTCAAGGAAAAGAATTAACATGTTTCTCATCCACTTTGGTGCAAAATCAACAGGCATTGCTTAAATATATTTCACAAAAGTCTTAAAATAAGCCTGGATCATTTAGTTTTGAAGTAGAAGAGAAGCACCCATATGGGACATTCACTAGCCCTTTTGAGGGCAGCAGGCCTCATCAAAGTGTGAGAACAGCCTTCCTCAGAGCCAAACATTCCATATGCTTTCACAAACCCAGATTTTCATATCCAGGTTTTGCTCATATATTAAGACAATAAAGGGATGATTAAGCATGGCTGAACTAGACAGCAGCTGATGACATCTTTATCACGCCAAACAAAACAGAACAGCCAAACCATCTGTGTTGTGTTTAAAACTGTTCAAACAGTTCAAAGAATATTAGAGAATAATATAATAAATTATACATTGATGTTATCTCTCTAGATAAGCGTGAGTCTATATATTTATGCACAAAGTAGCACTTCTTAGTGACTGTTTATATACATATACACAGGATGGGCTCAAATCAATGTATAATTTATTATACTTCTATTTGCAGTTCGATGTTTGTACTTTGAACTGTTACAGTTGGCAGGGCTGCACAGGATAATTAAAAGACATGAATATGTAACAATTTTTCTTGGGTCTGAGTATACACAAAAATGACTTCTATAAAACTTCTTCAGTTATTTCTGCATTATGGAAGGGAGGGCAGAAAACAGAGAAAAGGAGGCAAAATACATTGTCTGTGCATTCTTTTTCTTCATTTTATTTTGCGTAATCTGAGCTATAGAATCACGATTGGTCTGGAGGACTGAAACGGTTCTAGGAGCTAGTGCAGTGTGGTGGCCTCCCAAACTTTATAGAAGACACAAGTTTCCATTTAAAATAAACAGAAATGTTTTTGTCCTTGAGATTCATAGAATCATAAAATTGCTCAGGTTGGAAGAGACCTTAAAGATCATCAAGTCCAACCGTGTGCCTGAGTCTCACACAACTCAATTATAGAAAAAAAAAAAAAAAAATACGAACAGCACAATGCAACAGATGAAGTCTTTCCCATAAGGAGTGTCAAAAAATGATCGTAGGAAATGAGCTGGTTCCAAGTTCATTAAGAGTTTCTCCAAAGCCTGACAGTCAAAGTAAAAAACGCAGACTTTTCTTCAAACCTGAACTTCAGAATCCTTTGAACTTCAGATGGTAAAGCAACAGAACAACAAGATAGCTAAGGGATACCTTGGTGCTTTAGGGAGACAGGATTCACAGCAAGACAAGTGAATACACATATCCTTGTACTGATACTCACTTGCACATGCAATCAAGCATACAATAACGTGGTGGCATCTTGCATCTACACGTGCAAATTGAAAATAACCAATTTAGTCAAAAGCAGCCCAAGAGTGAGAATGAGCTTTTACAGCTGAATGCAAACAGCTGAAAACAAAGTAAGCAAACTGCACCAAAATCCAAAAGCCTGCTTTATTAAATCCTTCGTACAAATCCTATAAGAACAGCTGAAAAAAATGCCTGGCTGAAGTAAAGCACCTTCTTCTAAGAGACTTTAGCATGCGCAACACAGTGCAGATCCCAGCATAACTGGGTTCTTGAGTGATGGCACTCCAGGTGATCTGCTCCATGAAATCCCCTAGCACTAGGATCATACTGACAGATCTTTTCGTGAAATTACAAAGGAGATAAAAGATTGAAAGGTAGAAGAGAAGGATTTTTTTTTTTTTTCTTATTTTGAAAGTGCCTTGAAAGTCATAAATCCTACTGCAATATGAATGTTTGCACTCTGAATGCATACTCAAAGGGAAAAAGGTAAGTTAACCAATGTATGACCATAACAAATAGATGAGCATGTTCACCTGACTTAAAATGAGGTCAATTAGGTGGTTTAAAACATTCCCAAATAAAATTCAGTTTTCTACATATTTACTGATAGCCCTGTACACATGACAATCTTTTATATACTATGAGATCTCTTAGAACTCCATAAAAGCACAAATATACCCAGAGTGCTTTCCTCCTAGCACATTCATTACCTGTTCCAGTTCTTCCTTGAAGATAAATTGTAAATCATGATGCAATATCACATAATACACATCCTGATCAGAGAGACTGTACAAAATTGACCTCTGCAATGCATTCTTAAAAGAGGACATAATGCCTTTCATCCATAGTTTACCACTAATTGAATTTCCTCTAAGATAAGGAAAGGCATTATTTATCTATTGGCAAGTACACTGAAATAATTACAGAATAAAATCACATTTAATCCTGTTGCTAAAAAAAGTATGATGGAAATATCACTGTTAAAATGCAATACATTGTTGCAAGAGGACTGTCCACCTTAAAAATTTACAACCAGCTAAAAATAAGCTAATAAAAATAAGTTCCAGCTCAGTTCAGTGACCAGTGACCTAGAGATGTGGGAAATTAAAACAAACAAAAACAAGCAAAAATACACAGATTGGGATGTAAAACTCGCAAGTAATTCTAAACTCTTTTGTTTCTATATTGCTAATATGGATTCAAATTAAGTCAGCAAAACAAACACATCAAATTTAAAAGATGAATGTGATGTGGTTTAAGGCCAATTCCAAACCAGATTCTATTTAATACAACGTACAGGGCTTAAAGATGCCAGTCGAAAAGCTCTACAGGCTTCAAAGCAGAAACACTTCTGGCCGTAGGCAGCCACCCAATTGAAAAAGAATGGTTTGAGATACAGTGGGTGCCAAAGGCAAGCAGGACAGTGCTCACAAAGAAGTTTTATATGCATCCTTGCTATTACCATGCCAGTACCTTTGGAAACTGTCCTTCTTTTATCTATTTTTGATGTTCTAAATTCTTCATAAAAATTGAAGGTTATTTCTTGAGAAATGGTTGAGCTTCACTGCAGCTTTGTGTAGTTTTAGTTTACACGGATGTGTAAATACACTGATGTCCCAGTCTTCTCTGGACACTTTCACTACAGCAGTATTCATTTGCTACTATAACTAGTAATTGCAATTACCAGAGACTCTTTATGCCAAGTGTAAGCAACCATCTGCTGTTGAATACACTTTATCAGTGCATGGTATATCCATACCTGCTATATGTATCTGAAAATCAAGCCACTGGATTCACTGAACCCAGTTCTCTTTCTGTTAGACTTTTACTGGTATTTATTACACTCCATCATTTTGAAGGAATAACAAGCAGAAAATTCACCCATCCTTTTTTCCATCTCATTTATGCTACGAAACACTTGAGTGAGAAGCAACAGTAAAAAAAGTTTGCACCTTCAGAACTGCCCAAAACCAAGGAGGATTCCCCTTGGAAAAATCTTGAAGACCCTCAAAAAGGTAGAGTTTCAGTATCTTGAAGCAAGTCTCTAACGAAACCTGTGATATGAAACACACACAAAACACAAAAAGGCAGCAAGTCAAACCTCCTCAGGAGGGATCGTACGAAATGTGGCTGTCCCAATAAATAAAAGAGCAAATGCAGCATGGTTAAACTTTAATTCTATTTGGCTTTCTCAAAGCAGATGCTTGCAGACAGATTTCTGTTTCAACCACTAATGACTGTCATACACAATCATGTCACCGATTTCAAAGGGCTGCAGGGTTTATACACTTGCAGGCAAAACTGACAAGACACAGCTAAAGAATATTCACAGAATCCAATACCCTGCTTAGTTCAACAGGGACATTTAAACAGTGCAATCATGATAAGAGAACCAGACTGTGCCATGCAGTTTCAGTAATTCTAACAGGGACAGGAATAATCATCAAGTTGTACTGGTGCCTGTTACAGATTCTGTGAATAAAACAATGACCTTCCTTAGCGTGGCATGGAAAGTCATGGTGTTGTCCTCCTTGATGCTCCTAGGTCTAGTTTTCTGGATTATCACATAGAGATAACAGGAGGTAGTTACTAAGGCAGAGAAACAAAGATAGGCAAGGGGACATGAGGAAGAAGTATGTCAGAAATATGTGCAAGGGAAGACA